CAAGGCCACCAGCCCCATTCAAATTGTTAACACCCTCCATTTGGGGATGTGCTTCAGTTGCATCCAATTGTTGTTACTAATATAGATTTTCACGTAGCCTGACTTTAAACTTAAACTGCTCCAAATGAACGGCAAAAATTTTCTAGCAATGAAACACTTTGTCGAAGACGGGTTATGCTGCTAGTAGTGTAGATATTTGCATTTTTCTTGGTAATGTGTTACAAGGTATTCCATTTTAAATTTCCATTTTTAAGTAACGGATTAAAAAACTGTTTTCCTGTTTGCAATTTTGAGATAAGTTCTGATCGTTTAGTCAATAATTTCTGTTTGTCTTCGAAATTGATTATAGCATAACCAGAATGGACTAAATTTAATAATAGCCTAACGACAACTATGAAAAAATTGTGGTTGAATAACGAACTAAAAGATGGAGGTGATCACTGACTTACAGCTGTAAACCTGCACGTCGGCGGCCCTTCGATAGATGGTTGTTTTCTGACCTCTGAGTAAGCGAGAAATATTCAAGGTGAATGGGCCACCCATTTTAAAACTGAGAGATCTAGAGAAGATGTTCCAGGAATCATCTGCTCTGAACACCCCTACGAGTTAACCGAAACTGACTTGTCAGCCATCTTTGCGGTTGTAATCAAAATCTAAGTCAAAATATCCTTTGGTTAAGAGCATGGGACGTTAGCACCTTAACCGTTAAAGATATCCTAAGAACTAAAAAGAAAATTGAATTCATAGGAAAAGTACTTGCTGGCTATGACACAAACACTGCAGCAGTCAGCGAACCCAGGTCTTTTAGATGAGAGATCCCTCATTATCATTAATAGCAGTTACATCTTCTGAGAACTGAAGGTGCTGAAAGAATATTGGATGTAAGGAAATCCACAACCTACATATTGGTATCAGAAAAAAGTTTGATGAATCTACGTTTGTCATTCAACCAATATTTACATGAAATTATAATCAGTACCTGTTCTCCGATAATGACCAGCACTACTGAAATGATAGATATGTTGCAAGTGGTGTATTGCCGCAAGCAAATATGGAAGGATGGAAGCCAACAAAAAACAAAAACGAGACTTGAATAAAAAAGATACTGCCATGTTTATTTTCGTTAAAGAAAATACATAGACAAAATATGGTTATAGTGCATTAAGAAAAAAATCTCTGGATGTTCATGTAGAGGGTGAAAGGGGTGTTAAAGTGTATTTTCCTGAGAAGAAAAGATTTGTAGTTTTGGAAAAGTGTTGTCATGAAAAGATCCGTAGTGTAGCCATTGAGTATTGTTGTCCTGAAAAGCTCAGTTTTGTAACCTTTGAGAATTGTTAGAAAATGTTTGCCTCGGAGTTCTTGATAAGATCCAGAGGAGGATATGCAATATAATTGGCCCTGTTCTGGCATCTCGTCTACAGTCGCTCTCTCACAGACACGCAGGCGCCTCTCTCTGTCTTTTTTTACAAATACTTCCATGGTAATTTCTCCGAGGAGCTGCATTCACTGGTTCTCAGACTTCATGAATTCAAGCGCCCTACGAGGCTGGCATCCCGCTCTCACCCTTACACTTTAGAAACTTTTAAATGTAGCCGTCTCTTCTACTTCAATAGCTTCATACCTCGCACCTCTCGCCTGTGGAACTCCTTTCCCTATTCCAGTTTCCCTGATAGCTATAATCTCCAACTATTCAAATGTAATGTCAATCGACATCTCCTGTTGCCTTGATCTATCCACTATCCTTCTCCTCATCCTTTCCTCTATCACTCCCATCCATTTCAAAAATGCTAGATTAAAACAACGCTTAACCTTCCTTAGGAGCCTGAATAAATGGATGGTGAAATGGACACAACACATAGAAGAAGGATGACATATTACCTGCAAAAAGTACAGATTCACGTTGTGTAGGTCAGTTGCTTAAAAGGGAATTTCGCATAAAATGCGACACATGGTGGAATGAGTAGGGTGATCTGTTTCACTGCTACATGCTTCAGATCCCGATTTACCCCGTAAATAGCCAGATACCCCGAGAGCCTAGTTCATGAGTACTTCAACAAAGAGGTTTAAACTACTTTCAAATTGAGAAAATGTGGGTCAGAGAACATTTTACTGTGCCTGTGTACCGGTGGGTGCACAAGCATACACGCACAGACATACACATAGATAGATAGATAGATAGATAGATAGATAGATAGATAGATAGATAAAATAAAACAGAAAGGGATAGATAGATAGATAAATAAAATAGATAAATAGATAGATAGATAGATAAATAGAAAGGGATAGATAGATAGATAGATAGATAGATAGATAGATAGATAGATAAATAAAACAGAAAGAGATAGATAGATAGATAGATAGATAGATAGAATAAAACAGAAAGGGTTAGATAGATAGATAGATAGATAGATAGATAGATAGATAGATAGATAGATATGAACAGACTGAGATAGATAGATAGATAGATAGATAGATAGATAGATAGATAGATAGATAACATAATTTATTTTCTGTGTATCCTCCAAATTAATTCGAAATTGTTATTTAGCATAACTCAATTATATATTTATATATATATATATATATATATATATATATATATATATATATATATATATATAAAATGTTTTTCACTTAATTCATGTTTACTTCGGAGTTTCGTGGCTGTATAGGTATAACCATTCATCGGAACAAAGTTAATCTCCTGTCATTTCTCCATTCTCTTGCACATATTTTACTAAACATTATATATATGCAAGCATAGATAGATAGATAGATATGCATACTCACATACGCAATTACTGTTAATTTATTTCCATATTGTTCTCCAAGGGAGATGCATCATGCTGATACGTAAAAACTTCATCACTTAATTACAGAACTCTTAACTTTAATATCTGTTCTATAATCAGTAAATTGATTATTCCTTGACGCTTCAATTAATTTCTTTCGTTCGTTTTTCTGAGTATCATATATATATATATATATATATATATATATATATATATATATATATATATATATACTAGCAGTAGAGCCCGGCGTTGCCCGGGGATATAACAGTAAGAGATAGATCAAGTATCCACCATCATAAAGACTGAAAAATAAAATTGACAAAGATTATTGTTTAAGGTTGACGGACACGCATGTCTTAATTAGTTTTTTTTTTCTTTTTTTTTTTTTACGAATTGGTCAAACCCAAACTCAAACAAAAACATTGTTTTCAATCGTTATGAGTCTCCCAATTGAAGAGAATTTTATTATAAATAATTGTCTTGTAAATGGAATTTTTAAAGCATTCTGAATGTTAAAAATAAAGAAAAAAGTGTGAAAGAGAGTAAGAAACACTACCTGCCAAAAAAAAGTGAAGTTTTGTTTTATCGGCTGAAAAATATAGGAAATCCGCTCCCATATTTAAAGGAACACACAAACAACCCGATGTGAGTTGTCCCCCTTCCATTTTCACGATGTCTCTTAATCGTGTTTTCAAATTGATTTTGTGCAAAAACAATTATATTTTTCCCATTTTTGGCGCTGTTAGAACCACCATAAGGTAATTTTATGTAGCCCTGTGAGGTTTTGTTAAAATCGGTTGAAAAATGTAGGAAATCCGATCCAATATATAAACGTTACACACACACACACACACACACACACACACACACACACACACACAATCTGCGTTTTATAATAAGTAAGATATATAGTGAACACAGAAGTTAAAATCGGGTGGTCGCATTCCTGAGTCTGTATCTTGCTTCAATAAAATCTTCAGGCCTGAAGCGTTCACACATGAAATAGACTGTTTTGCCACGTGATATTAAACTCAGTGTGCATTTTATATTTACACACGCTCTATTTCTGATATTAAGCACTTTTAACCATAAATATAGAGTATATATATATATATATATATATATATATATATATATATATATATTCTAGTGGAATCGGTTACATTCACTTACTAATACTCAAGGGAAAGATATAAAACCTCTTCTTTTTCCTCCAGTAAATATGGGTAAATAGCCTTGGCTGGCAACTGGTCTATGAAAAAGACAACTCTGAATTCAAAACCTGCGGACGCTTGTGTGGGGACCTTGTGACACGCACTGCACCAAGTCTCAGCATGTGTGGACGGTTCTGGCCAAACCTTCACCACTATAATCAAATCTCATGTGCTGCTGGCGGGCTTTTGATTCCTAGGAACTGAACTGCTAGACCCTCATACGTCGAATTCAACGGGAGAGTCGAGAGGATAGATAGATAGATAGATAGATAGATACTTTAAAAATCAGAACACCAGTTGAATCCGGTACCTCTGACCGTTAACCTTTTATGTATATATATATTCTTTTACGTTATTTATGCAAATATTTAAGTAAATGCTCTGTTCTTAATAAACAGTATTAATAACAATTACCGGCTTGAATGTATAAGAGAGAGAGAGAGAGAGAGAGAGATTCACAACGTTTCGGCCGTTGTACGATCCGGCCTTCTTCGGGTGATTGGAATTTCCAATCAAACCCTTTATTTCTACCACCAGGGTAGATTGTTCTAGTTCCACGTGTCATGCCTCTTCCGGATGTCTCAGTTATTTCCATAAACTGAACTCTCTAAGTTTTTGATTAACCACTGCTGTGGCCTGGTATTGAGCTCACAACTCTTTTGGGTCTAGTCACTCACTGGATCTAATCAACGTCTTTATCCAATGGACCTTGAGGACTAGTTTGATACCAGGTCACAGCAGAGGTCAACCAAATCTTGGAGAGTTGAGTCAAAGGGAAACAACTGCGACATGGCATCCAGAAGAGGCATGACACGTGGAACTAGAACAATTTACCCCGGTGGACGAAATAAAGGGTTCGGTTCGAAATTCCAATCATCTGAAGAAAACCGGAGCGTACACCGACCGAAACGTTGTGAATATGGCAATGAAGACGAGGATAACAATCCGAATAATGTAAATAATGCAAGTAATCATAATACCTCATTTTAGAGATATAGACAAATCTTAAATTTTAATGTTATACTGTCGACTCATGCGTAAATTCTATGTTATGCTGTCGACTCATACGTAAATTCTTTTATACCGGCGACTTATACGTAAATTCTATCTTATACTGTCGACTCATACTTAAATTCTATGTTATACTGTCGACTCATACTTAAATTCTATGTTATACCGTCGACTCATACATAAATTCTATGTTATACCGTCGACTCATACGTAATGTCTATGTTATACTGTCGACTCATACGTAAATTCTATGTTATACTGTCGACTCATACGTAAATTCTATGTTATACCGTCGGCTCATACGTAAATTCTATTTTATACTGTCGACATATGTAACTTTCGTTAATTTTCATAGATATGATGTTAATTAAAGTATAAACGACATTGCTAATTTAATCAATGTTTTGCTTTTTAGCAAATGACCAGAACAACTAAAATCAAAGATATCAATCCGACGTGAATCTCTCTTAGGGGAATGTTCCTACACTGAGAGTCATTCTCCCGTGGAGTGGGAGAAGCTGTTTCGTCCTGTCCTTCCTGTTTTCTCTTTATTCGCTCCGCGGTTTTTCCTTCCTCGTGACAATAGTCAACAGGTGAAGCGATTCGATGTCCCCGAGGCAATCAGTCATTTCGTTATCTTCCGGCTGATCGTACAGAGTCAGACATCCAATGAATGTCTTAATCGATAAGGTCCCTTTCTCACAATCTCCGGTTTAATTAATCAAGACCCGATGTCGATTTTCTTCGCTTTGTTTTCCCGCTTCTTGTCGACACTGAGAAACAAAATTGAGGAAAATTTAGAAAACTCTTCCGGATTATCATCCTGTCTTTGTCCCCAGGTGACTGATAGTCGATGTGCGCATCTATCGCACGTAGCTACCTCGCTACCTAGCTAAATGAAGGAAATATCCATTCTCTACTTTGACTCGGCTTTGAGGCAAGATGTTGCATTTCATGCCCAAAACGAAGCTCTTCATATAATAGCTTCGTTTTGGGCATGAAATGCAACATCTTGCCTCAAAGCCGAGTCAAAGTAGAGAATGGATATTTCCTTCATTTTTTGTTTACTAATGTTCACCAATACAAGGCCCAAGGGCCACTCATAGTAGAAGGTTACTGTGTGGAGTTGTATTAGGATAAGAAAGACAAAATAGATGAAGTTCTTGGGGCTATGCAGGACAGATAACAGCTAACTCTAGACTTGAAAAGGTCAAGCTTTAATTAGTGAATAAAATTTCCGAGTTCAGGCGGATATATTAGAAGTATAGAGCTGAAATAGACTTTAGAAGGAACCAGAAACACAATCCCAAACAGGAAATAAGGGATAAACCTTCCACTCTTGTTCAAAATATTGGGGAGAAGAGGGAACCGGGCGATATGCAAACCTATCTACTTCAATTGTAAGAGGAAAATATAATAATAGTTACTGAATAAAATTCAAGATTTCAGTCGGAGACATCAGATTTGAGGGAATCGGAAACCCAATCTTAAACAGGAAACAAGAGATAAACTTTTACTCCTGTTCAAACAACTGGGGAGAATTATGAACCGGATGATAGGCAAAGTTATCGACTCCTATTAAATACATATATATATATATATATATATATGTGTGTGTGTGTGTGTGTGTGTGTGTGTGTGTGTGTGTGTGTGTGTGTGGATAGGAAGTGTAGACATAGAGATCAACACTACTTGTGGTCTTGGTTTGAAGGGGGCATTGAAACACGAATCTAACAGGCAAAATGTAGTATATCATAATTTCCTATATTAATCGGGGAAGAGTGACATAGATATCTGACAAAGAGCGTTTATGGGCATAGACTGTGCGATCGACACGACCAAATGTTGGACAATTTTTGTCTATTTTCAGCCGAAATTAAAGGAAACATACGAACATTAGAACGATTCATTATCCAACATAATAGACATTCATTACTTGTTATATTTAACAATATATTAAAATAATGATCTGGTGCCTCAATACAATATATATATATATATATATATATATATATATATATATATATATATATATATATAGATAGATAGATAGATAGTATAATGAAGGCAAACAGTGATGCTGTAAAGACAGTGCTCAATATAAAATATATATTATATATATATATAAGATATATAAATATACAAAATAGAGCCAATATAAAATATAAGTAAAACAATCTTCATATGTTACTGTAATCCACGAGATAAAGTTTCATGTGAACACTTAGATGTTGATGCCTCACAATCCTCGGGAGGTAAAAGTGATGCCATACTAGGTTCCTTATTCCTTTAAGTCACAGAAAGCAATAACATATGAGCATTGTTTTACATTATATATATATATAATTATTTATTTAAAAATATGATTCCAACGCTACATAAGAGTTCTCATATTTCAAAACAAGAGCCGAAATCTTCAATATAATTATTTGAATTCAACTGAATTAAAGTACCAAGCTCGGTTCCATCTTCAAGCGATT